ACTTAACGATGTGTTCATCCTTAAAATTCGTAAATTCCTTGAAAAATGATTTCAGTGGCCCCGATTGCTTTGAGAAGTTGATCATAGAAGTCTGCGCTGAAGCTCGGCTTTTCACTGAATATGTCTAGTTGTCCTCAACAGACAAGTTGTTCTGATTTGTGCTATTAACAAAAGTGGAAATTTACAATATATCTGCCTTTGTTGGATTTTTTTGGTTTCATTCTTTTTATATATGTGCCTAAAACTGCAAAATAGAGGCTATCGTTTTTTCCTTTTTTGATATCAGTGGGTAGAATTCTATCAGCAAAGCATCACGTGATTTGTTTCGCACAAGACCGACTTCAAATATTTGCTATTATGTCTTGTCAATGAGAAAAAGCTAAACTGTACTGGCGTCAGAGAACTGCTTAAGGCCGACAAAATGACAGGAAGCCATTAAAGAGACTTCTGGAAGTTGCTGGCTCGTAGGCCGAGAACTCCGAGAGCTTAGCGATTAAAAAAAAAAAATTTATTTCTAATATCTTTACCAGGGCAGAAGTGGTTCTTGGGTGTTCTGGGAAATGAATTCCCCAACTCTGTCCGGAAACAAGGGGCAGCTGGGAAGCGTAGTTCCGGAGTGCCGTGTGGTCGGAGCCACTTCCGCCCGGGAGAACGAGGCCGTCACCACCTTTCGGTCCGGGAGGTGAGTCAGCTCCGCTCCCCCTACGCCCCCTCCGTGCCTTTCCGGCCTGACTGTGGGACTAGTCGCGACCTAGCCGGCTGAGTTATGATGGAGGCGTCGCGGCCGCCGGCGGCGGCTTCGCTGAGGATACACCTGGATGTGGCTTGAGTGGGGCCCCGAGTTGGAGGAGGCAGAGTTTCAGGGATTCCTCTGTTATCCAGTTTGATGATGTCTCTGCTATGGCGGTGCTGCGTCCATGCACTGGGAGGTGGGAGGGCTCAACAGAGGAACAATGGATACCACCGGCAGGGGAGAGAGCCTCACCGAGGCCCTCACTCCAGCAACTCAAGTGTCACCCTGTAAGTCCCTGTGCAGCCAAACCGGCACTGGTGCTCAGAGCGAGCAGGTCTGTCAACATGGAAGTCTGCTTGAGGACGCGGCCCCTTTAAGAGGTGTCTGCAGCTGCCACTGCCGCAGCCGCTGCCGCTGCCGCAGCCGCAGCTTCAGTCCCACTCAGCCGCTCTGGTACGGGCAGCCTCGAGTCCTTGCCTCATCCTACCTTCTGCCATTGCAGGGTGATTTCTTAGATTTCTCCTTAGTTGTATGCCTTGTTCATCTAGCTCCCAGGTGATTTTCCTTGCTGTTTGCTCCTTCTTTCTGTCTCAACTTTGATTTGGTTGCCAGAGGGATGAACAGAGACTCTATCATTTACACCATTTCCCCCGCTCTCTATTTTATGTAATTTTTAAAAGGAATGTATATGGAAATATTATTGCAACATGAGTCATGGAAAAAATATTTTTTTAACTGAGATATAATTGACATATAATACTGTATTAGTTTTAGGTAATACATCATCTTTTAATCTCTTAAATTATTAAACAGGTGAACAGCAAAGCTTCATTATCATTAGTTATCATTCAGGATGCTTTCTTGCATTGTAATGAAAATTAATTTACTGTAGTTTATTTTTGGACATCTCTTACCCTGTCATTGGTTCTTCTCAAAAAATATACTCAGGACAAAACAAGAAGATATTTAACTTGTTATCTCTTTTCATCGTTGCCCTGATATGCTGTTCTATAGCTTGTAAAATGAAATTTTACCCACTACTGTGGGATTTACATTTGTATCTTAGTCTTGATTTTAATGAGGATGTCTCTAATGTAGCTTCATTTAGTATAAATGTTGGTTTGGGGATCGGGATACATGTATTTTATCAAATTAATGATGTATCAACTGCTTACGGTTTAAAAGTTTTTATCCAGAACAAGATTTTATCCAATACGTCTCAGTGTCTAAAGAAATTATAATATATTTATATATTGATATTTGATATGACAATTTATATAAACAGATTTTCTGATATTGATCCAATCTTTATTCCTAAAATAAATCATCTTTGGTCATATTGTATTAGTTTTTTAATATGCTGCTTTGCTAATATTTTACTTACAATTTATGTCTATATTCATAAGTGAGATTTTTCTCTCTGTATATTTTTTTCCATCCATAGAATCTTTTCTCATGAAGAGTAGTTCCAAAATGGAAGCTCCTTCTTTTGCTGTGCTATATAAATGTACAAATAGCATTGAGATCATCTGCTTTTTTTAAGGTTTGGAAATACTCCCATGTAAAACTATTTTTTAAAAAATATTTTTTATTTTTCAAATATAGTTGATCTATGGTATTAAATTAGTTTTGGGTGTATGATACGATGATAAGACATTTATATAACTTACAAAGTGATCACCTGGATAAATTTTGTACCTATCTAACACCATACATAGTTATTATAATATTATTGACTATATTCCTTATACTGTACTTTATCTCTCTATGAGTATTTTGTAACTACCAATTTGTACTTTTTAATCCCATCTCCTTTTTTACTCCCTCCAAACCCCTTTCATCTGGTAACCCTCAAAATGTTCTCTGTTTCTATGAGTTTGTTTGTTTTATTTGTTTATTTTGTTCTTTAGATTCCACATGTAGGTGAAATCATATGGCATTTGTCTTTATCTGACTTATTCCACTCAGCAATATACCTTTTAGTTCCATCCATTTTGTTGCAGATGGCAAGATTTCATTCATTCATTCATTCATTCATTCATTTATATGGCTCAGTAATATTCCATTGTATATGTGTACCACCTCTTCTTCATTGATTCATCTATTAATGGACACCCAGGTTGCCTGCATATTTTGGCTATTGTAAATAATGCTACAATGAACATGTAGATGCACATGTCCCTTGAAAGTAGTATTTTGAGTTTTTTTCAGAGAAATACCCTGAAGTGGGATTACTGGGTTCTTCTTGGTCTCTTGTTATATATAGCCTTTGTTTTAAAGTCTATTTTGTCTAGTATAAGTATCACTATATCAGATTTTGTTTGTTTGTTCCATTTTCATGAAATATCTGTTTCCATCCCCTTACTTTCAATCTCTGTGTGTATTTTGATCTGAAGTGAATCTCTTGTAGACAGCATATGTAAGGGTCTTGTTTTCAACCACCCTGTCTTTAGATTGAAAGATTTAATTATTTTTCATTTGAAGTACTTGTTGATGAATATGTCATTATTCTCATTTTCTTACTCATATTTTGATACATATTTTTTTCTTCTTCTTAAAGAAGCCCCTCCAGCATTTCCTGTAATACTGGCTTGGTGGTGATGAACTCCTTTAGCTTTTTCTTGTCTGGGAAGCTCTTTATCTGTCCTTTGATTCTAAATGATAGCTTCGCTGGGTAGAGTAATCTTGGTTGTAGGTCCTTGCATAGCTGCAAGCAAAGTTCAGCCTCAGCCCATGTACTTCCAGGACCACCTGGTAAGAGCCACCAAGCAATCTACAGATGGTTGCCACCCGTGCTGGGACTATAGGTGCCTCAAGAGGCCAATCCAGGAACCAAGGCCAGCTGCCATTGGTGCCGGGTTTGGGGCTGCTCAGCAAGAGGTACAGGGCATGCCAAGGCTAGATGCTGCTTGTTTGGGTTTTGTAAGCCTTTGAGAGATTTTAGGAAGATTGCGACTTGGGTGGATCCACAAGGTGGGTGGGGTGGGGTCTCAGGGAATCACCTGGGCAGGGCAACCAGTGTTAACAAGGCTTCTGGAGACTCAGATGGGGAGAGTTCAAAAAAGGAAGAATGGATATTGCCAGCACTTCTTTCTAAGAGAAAGCTGCTCCTCTAGCTCTCTACCTAAAGCCAGATAATTCAGTTCCTCTCTGTGTGTCTCTGGCACTGCTGAAGCAGCTGCCCCAGTGCTGTGGCTCAGAGCGAGTTGAGTTCTTCAGTAAATAAGTCTGGATGCAGGCCCTTTAAGAGGAGCATCTGTGACTCCTGCCGCCCTCTGTCTCACTCAGCCACAATCTCCACTGGTTTTCACAGCCAGATGTTTTGAGGATTTCTCTTCCCAGAACTGGAACCCTGAGCTGGGGAGCTGAGTGTGGGGCTGGGACCCCTGTTTCTCCAGGGGTGGGTTGGGGTCTCTGCAGCCATGAAAACACTCTTGATTTTCAACCACTGCATGCGGCTATGGTACCAGCCCATTTCATGTCTTTGCCCCTCCTACCAGTCTTGAGGTGGCCCCTTGTGTAAATTCTCAGTTGTAGGACGCCTGTTCAGCTAGAGCTCAGACAATTCCCAGTGATGGTGGTTCTGTAGTTTCGTTGTAATTTTGATGTGGTCATGAGAGGTGAACACAGCATTTACCTTTTATGTTGTCTTGACCAGAATTCCCCATCTTCTTCTTGTTTCTTGATTTTTCTTTTGTAGCTTTCTGTTTGCTATGTGGTTTTCTGTATCTCCATACATATAGGATAAAAGGCTTTTTACCAATAAGCCTCTTCTGGCTTCATAAAGTAAATTGACCCAAACCGACACTTTTTAGAAAGCTAATACCAGTGTCAATAAAGTGTTACTAGCTGGGCAACAAATTATTAAGTAAAAAAAATTTAAGTTAGAATTAGGGCTTTCAGAGACTGAAGGTGACTCTTATAGCAATAATAAATGGAGTCTAGGTACATTTCAGGTCTTTTAAGTTGTTAGAAATGACATTTGCAAATACGCTCCCCAACTAACCAGTGGTTCCTCTTAACTTTTTGACTCTACAATGGTCCTAAATGAAATACCTTCAGTATAAATTGTACTTTGAATTTTGAATTTTGATCTTTTCTGGGGCAGCAAGCAGTAGGATACTCTCTTCTGATGCTGGGCAGCAGCAGTGGGCTACAGCTCCCGGTCAGCCCCACAATCACCCCCACGATCACGAGGGCAAACAACCGATAGTCTATAGTGTACTGTGTTGCCATTGTTTTTTGGATATTGTGTTTTGTATTTTCACATCTCATCTTATCTGTAAAATGCCCATCTGTGTCTCTTGTTTCTGGTGAGAGGAAAAAGAGGAAGGCAGTGACTCCTGAGATGCAACTCAAGAAAATCGCCCAGGTGTAGGCCAGTGTAGGTGTTCTGAGCACATTTAAGGTAGGCGAGGCTAAGCCCTGACATTGTATAGATTAGGTGTACTAAATGCATTTTCAACTTAAAATGGGTTTATCAGGACATAACCCCATCTTAAGTGGAGGAGCATCTATGTGGTTTAAAATGCAGCATATCCTCTGCTTTTTCGCAGCTCCAAGGAAAAGGGACTCCTGGTTCTTAGAACTTGCCATCTACTCATTTAGTCCTTGGAACAGGCCTGTGAGGTGCGTATGATTTATGATTCTTATTCCGTCTTTATTGTGCAGATGACCAAAAAGAGGTGTAGAAAGGTTTGTTTTAATACCGCAGATGTTACACAGATGGTAAGTATCATTTCCAAGATTTAAACCTAGGCCCCTGACTCCAAAGCCCACTTTTTATTTTTTTTTAAACACACAGGTTGTTATAATGCCTCTCATTTCCTGCCTTCCCCAGGATCAGAAATCTTTATCATAGGGATAGTGCATTTGGTTGTGCAGGTTGTTTACTTTCCAGAGGTCCCCGGCCGATGAAGGCATTAGGAGCTGGAATCTCTTCCATGCTCTGCTTACCAAGCTGTGTGTGACCGCATCTGCCTGGAAGTTGGAGTGCTCTTGTAGAATTTCTGCAAAGATCTGTATGGGCTCATGGCTTCTTTGTCCTTCCGCAGTTATGCCTTCTCAGGACTCTGACCTTCCCCAGAAGGGACAGGAGAAAATGACCAAGTTTCAGGTAAGGAAGGCATTCCTTTCTATTTCTTAAGATGTGATTTTATTTCTCAAAGATGAGGCACATTTTTTTCCTCTTCCTTGGAAAGGTTCATGGAAAACAACAGATCTCAAGGGCATGTTGTGTGCCAGACCGTGTGTGTGTATGGGTTTGGTTTTATTTTATCTTTATTATTTCATAAAAGTGTCGGTTTGGGTCAATTTACTTCATGAATTCTCCAGGTTGTGATGCTGGAGAATTTTAAGAACCTGGTCTCAGCAGGTGAGGACAGGCGCCCTCTGACACTGAATCTCAATCCCTCTGAGAGTCCCTGTCCTCAGTGGTTCAACAATAGAAATCTTAAAGATTGACAAAAATAATTTACACTACTGCCTGGCTTACAAACGAGCTCTTTTCGCTTTTCCATATTCTTTTTTTTCACATGCATTCATAACTAATATGTTTGCACTATTAAAATGAATAGGATATCTTTATACATATTAGATAAAGGCCTAACATCTCTAATTCTTATTAAGGTTAGTAAGATAAAGAAAAACTCTAGTGAATGAAACTCTAGTGAAGGAGTGTCACAAAAAAAGAAAGTAAATTTATGAAGAAAATAATGATCATTAATAACTAAGTGTGTGCAAACATTACTAAGAGCTTTCTGTTTATTTCACTTAGATTGACGAAGGTTTTTTTGTTTTGTTTTGTTTTGTTTTGTTTTTTTTAAGGAATCATGTTCTATTTGGCCAGAGTCTAGAGATTCAGGGACACTCACACTTCTCTTTGAGAAGAAAATCTGCCATATGGTTTCAAAATTTTTTAAGTGCATATTTTATGACTTTGTAATTCCTACTTCTTGGCTAAGATCTCTAAAAGGGCCTTCGCAGCACTGATGATAAGTAAATAGGTATAACTAGTCTACGGCCATGCTACCCTGAACACGCCCGATCTCGTCTGCTCTCGGAAGCTAAGCAGGGTTGAGCCTGGTTAGTACTTGGATGGGAGACCACCTAGGAAGACCAGGTGCTGTAGGCATAAAAAAAAAGAAAAAAGAGAAAAGCTATAACTAATTATACATTATTTTTATTGACTAAAGATAAATTGTCAGTTCTAAGGAATACTGTACTATGTAGTCAAAATGGAATGAAAGAGAATACTAATTGTTCAAACTTATTGAGCATTTATTATGTGTGAGGCACCATTCCAATTACTTTTCTAAGTACTTTATATATATTCATTCACTCATCTAATCCTTTCAAATACCTTGTGATTTAGACACCACTGTAGAGAAGAGGGACTTGAGGTTGTGAGAGGTTAGGGAATTTGCCCAACGTCCTGTAATTAAAACCTTGAAATTTGAACTCCGCCTCTACCTTCACCAGCTGTGAATGCTACAGTAGGTGGACAAGGCATGTGCCTTGAAAACACAGATGTAGTGCTATATGACAGGTATATACCTGTCCTGGACAGTTGCTGAAGGTCTTTGAACTTTGCGAACATTAAAAATAGTGATAATTGTATGTCAACTATAATTGAAAAAAAAAGTTATAGCGTCAAAAAGGAAAAATAGTAATAGAGTCCAAGCTTTGTGGGGAGGCAGGGAGAGAGGGACAGCTGTAGGGACTAAAACCTTCCCCCCAACGCCGTAACGGTTTTTCGGAAATTCTCTTTTAACTTCTCAATGCTTCCCTTCCCCCAGTGGGCCTTTGTTGCAAGATTTAGGTGGAGTGTGTTTGATGTTGTAGGAGCCAGTGACGTTCAAGGACGTAGCTGTGGTCTTCACTGAGGAGGAGCTGGGGCTGCTGGACGCCTCCCAGAGGAAGCTGTACCAGGACGTGATGCTGGAGAATTTTAAGAACCTGGTCTCAGCAGGTGAGGACAGGCGCCCTCTGACACTGAATCTCAATCCCTCTGAGAGTCCCTGTCCTCAGTGGTTCAAAGCTTTGGACCTTTTGAAGTGGTTCCCTGACCTTGAAAACACAAGCTTTTCTAACTCCCGGGACTTCAGGCAAAGGTTTTTCTGGTCTTCCTGCTCAGACAAAAATCTGTCTAAGGTGATTGTGCCGCCCTCCACCCCCCAGGACATTTGGCAATGTCTGGAGATAGTTTTGATTTTCACAACTGGGGAGAGATGCTACCAGCATCAAGGGCCAGTGATGCAGCTAAACCTCCTACAGCGCACAGGACATCACCCGCAACAGAGTTAGCCAGTCCAAAATATCAGAAGTGCCTTGATCGAGAAACCCTGTTCTAAGTCAATTATAAGTGAACGGCTTAGCTTCTATACTTTGTCTTTCAAATACTTTGTCCTTCCAATTATGGTTGTAACCCACTTGTGGGTCATGGAATCAACTTAGTACATTGTACTGTCACTTTTTTTTCTATGAAATACTTTCCGTCCTTATTCTATTTTATTCTCAGTTCCTTATCAAGACTTGCTCAACTTGCAGCAAAAACTGCGACCATTTACAGTGAATGGTATATGAGTATGGGAAATACGATGAAACCAGACATTGGCTAAATCCCATTTTATCTACACATACACATGAACTAGGTCGTGACCTAAATTTCTTATTATAGCTTGTGATCGAAAAGCTCTTAAAAGAACACTTTAGAGGTTCTGAGGATTATAGAATTTAAACAGAAATATGTTTTAGCTGTGTGTGCATCTTAAATACATAGATCTATCTTTTCATAGGACATCTTCCCTTCAAACCAGATATAGTATCCCAGCTGGAGACAGAAGAAAAGCTTTGGATGATGGAAAGAGAAACCCCAAGAAATGGGAATTCCGGTGAGGACCACATGGCCATTCTTTCAGGTACCAGCTAATCCGCTCACCATGTCTGAGATTACCACTCTTGTCTGAGAGCTGTCATCATCTTGCCTGGACTGTGACAGCAGCCTCCACACTGGTCTCCATGCTTCCTCCCTCGCTCTCCTATAATCCCTTCTCTGCTCGGTAGCCAGAGTGATTCTTTAGGAAGGAAGTGAATTCATGCCGTTCCTTTGCTCTGAACCCTCTGAAGACTTCCTATTTTACTCAGCGTCTGGACAGGGGCCTGCAGGCTGCACCTGACCTGGCCTCTCACCGAGTTCCTCTTCGATCTCCTCTTTTTCCCCGGCTTAAGTTATTCCTGCCATCCTGGCTCATTGGAGTGTCTTCTTCCGTTTCCTGGCCTTTGACTAGCTCTCCTCTACCTCAGAATAGAGTCCCTAGTCGCTCCCTACTCACTCAGGTCTTTGCTCAAATTTCATCTCATCAGCTAGGCCGTCCGCGTCTCCCCTATTTAAAATATCATCCTCTCTCCATTCTCCGCCCCCTTACCCTGAAAATGAGAAGCTCTCCTCAAGGCCTGTCCTAGCCTGGGATCCCAGCCTTGCCCGTCCGTGAAAAGTGCCTCATCCGTGTCCCCAGCCAGCCCTTTTTCTTTGACACCTGGTTTTTCGCTGTCCTCCATTCTCCTGTCCTCTCTCACTTCTTCACTTTGACCTCCTTCCTTTCTCTCCTTTTCTTTCCCTTCTCTCGAATTTGCATTTTCCTCAGTTCTGCCCATTTAAATATTAAAAATTCCTAAGAAATGGATATTTACCTAGGCTCCTTTTGCTGAAAAACAGAACAGAAGCTTGTCTGCAAACACGATAGTCAGGCCCCGAATTCCGTAAGTAATTGGTAGATATACCCTGTCTTCTTTTGTCCATCTCCCTTCCTATGTCTACATGTTGCTCCACGTTTGACGTGTTCAGGAGGGTTAGAAACTGGCTCTACTGGGTCTCATTTTTATTTGCAAACTTAACTTTAGGAATTATGATACTAAGGATTGTCACTTTTGTTTTGCAAGGTTTTAACAAACTTTGTAGCATCTTCTACCACTTTTTCTCAAAGGTTTTATTCGACTTCTTTAACCTCAGCATGTTTCAGGGTTTTGCAACCAAGCTCCATGTACAGATACTGTCCTGAAATGCTCGTTATAGGTCACTAGAGCAGAAATTAAAGGGCTCGTTTTTGTAAGGATTTCTAAAAACCGAAAGCTTACAAATAATGGAGACAAGTGACCTCATGTCTCTGTTACTCCTAGAGATGGCTCGTAGGTTTAGAGCACGCTAGCGAGATGTGTGGCACATTGTCGGCCAGCGAGCGTCCAGCATAATTCTAAGTTCTTGGACACCTTTGAGTATGTAAAGATTCATAGTTGTTAGCCTTGGAAGATAAAAGCTAGTCACAGTGATCAGAATGTATAAGTAAATATCAGAATCATCGATGCGGATATGCCAGGCATTACACTCTGTCAGTTCTCATGTAACAGTTTTGATCGGCCACTTATGTGTGAAAACTGCCTCAGCCATGAGCCAACTGCCCACTTAACCACCCTCCCCTCTCTCATACTAAACACTCATGTGACCTATGTGTGGTAGTTGTTTAGTAGTTTCAAATCGGATATTTCCAGAAGTCAGAAAGCACTGACATGCCAGTGGAGATGAGGAGAGTCCTAATTAGGAGAGAAAATTACGGAATTTCAAGTAAGTTTTCCAATGTAACTTGCATCATAATGGTATTAACTAGTGGGTATCACAGGCAATGTGAGAAGCCTTTGAGATGTTGCAGTGACTTCCGATACCAAACACCCAAAAGCAGCCCTGACTTCACAGGTTGGGGACACCGTCCTCCACAACACTGCCCGCCAAGACTTAAGACACCAGCTGGGCTTCTCAGGGCTGCCCTCGCCTCTGAGCAACTGGCTACAAATTCAGGGCTTCCCACAATAATTCAATAGAATGACTGAGAACTTAGGAAATCGCTATACTTGCAATTATAATTCTGTTACAGCAAAAAAGATACAAACTGAAACCAGCAAAAGAGACAGCTGCATAGGTTGAGATCCAGCACAGTTCCTTCCTGCAGGCCATGAAACGGAAGAAGACACTCCAATGAGCCAGGATGGCAGGAAGAACTTAAGCCGGGGAAAAAGAGGAGATCGTGGTTATCCTGGCCCATCCGTAAGCCAGGATAACCTCCCCATCTCAGGAGCCTCGGTTTGATCAAAACTGAAGTCCCTTTTGCTGTGTACATCAGCATATTCACAGGTTCCCAGGATTAGAGCAGGGACATCTTCATTAGAGCAGGGGCTGTTCGATCAGCCTACCATACCCAGAAACGTGGGCATTC